TCTTTCTCTTTCCTTCTTTCTGTGTGGTTTCTCCTCTCCCTTTCTTTCTCTCTCTCTTTCTGTGTCGCCTCTTCTTTCTCTTTCTCTCTTTCTGCGTGGTTTCTCCTCTCCCTTTCTTTCTCTCTCTCATTTCCTGTGTCGCCATTAATTCTTTCTCTCACTTCTCTTTCTGATGTGGTTTCTCCTCTTCCCCTTTCTTACTCTCTCTCTCTCTCTTGTGTCGCCCCACTTACTTCTCCTTTTCGTTCTCTTTCTGCGTGGTTTCTCATCTTTCAACGATTTTTTTCTCTCTCTCTCTCTCTTTCTCGGTCTGTTTTGAGGGTCTTGGGCACTCACCTGCAAAGAGAGAAATAAACAAAATATTAGATTCTTCAGATTTATTATCAATATTTCAAAAAGTTGTTGAAAAAAAAAAAATTTTGTCTTCTTTGTCTGTCTGTGTCTTAGAGTATTTGTCTGCCTCTGTCTCACCCCCCTTCTCTCTCTTCTGTCTCTTCTTTCTCTCTGTCTCTCTTTCTCTCTTCTCCCTTTCTCTCCATCTCTCTCTCCTTTCTCTCCATCTCTCTCCATCTCTCTCTCTCTCTTCTCGTCTCTCATTCTGCTCTCTCTCGTCTCTTCTCTCTCTCTCTCCTCTCTCTCTCTCTCTCTCTCTCTCTCTCTCTCTCTCTCTCGGGAAAGAAGTGGGAAATACCGACGAAGAAGGAGAAAGAAAGAGATGCACTCAAGGAGATAGAGTCCTCCAGGAACGGTTTGTTTTACAGTTTATCAGGTAGAGATTCTCCTCTGCTCTTCTCCCTTCCTCTCTCTCTCTTTCTCCCTTCCCTCTCTCATCCTGTCTCTCTTTCTCCCTTCCCTCTACTCTCTCTTTCTCTCCCTTCTCACCTCTCTAAATACTCTTTCCCTCGGCACTCTCCCTTTACTCTACGTCTGTCGACACATATCTCTCTCTACATCTCTCTCTCCTTCATCCCTTCTCGCTCCCAATCCCTTCCCCACCTCCGGGCCTGTCCATACACGAGAGCTATCACGTCTCCCCTCCTCCCCCTTCCTCTCAATTTTTCAAACTTCATTTCCAACCGCCCTCCTCATCCGTCTCTTCTCGTCCCCTTTACTCTTCCCCCTCTCCCTCGTCCATGCTCCTTGTTTTATTCCTATCTTCCATTTTCCGCCCTTGTTTCCTCCCTCTATTTCTCATCCCCTCTTTCGCACCCTCGATCTGGGTAGGGGGCGGAGGGGGGGGGGGGTAGGGAGGGTGCAGTGGACTAAGTGATTGCACAGGGACACTGTATCAACTCCCTTCCCATCCCCTTCTCTCGCTCTCTCTCTCTCTCTGATCTCTCTCACTTCTCTCCTCTCTTCCTCTTCTCACTACACTCCCTTCCCTCCCAACTCCAGCCCCCCCCCTATCTATCTCCTCTCTCTCCTCTTCTCTCTCTCTCTCTCTCTCCTCTCAGGTTCCTCTCTTCTCATCATCTCTCTCTCTCTCTCTTCACTCACTCCTCACTCACTCACTCACTCACTCACTCACTCACTCACATCACTCACGTCACCTCACTCCCTTCCTCCCCTTCTCTCTCTTTTCTCTTTCTTCTGCTCTCTCTCTCTTTCACCCTCCTCCCCCTCCCATCTCTCTCTCTTTCACGGCCTTCCTCCCCCCCCCTCTCTCTCTCTCTCTCCTCTTCTCATCTCCCTCTCTCTTCCTCTCCCTCTCCCTCCCTCTCCCAATATCTTTTTGTTTCTGCCTCTCTGTCTGTGTCCTGTCCTGTTCCTCTCATTTTTTTTCGGGGCTCAGCAATTTACTGTTTATTTATCTCTTTATATCTATCTATCCTCTCTTTCTTAGTGCCTCGCCTTCCATTCTTTATTATATTTTCCAGAACTTCCTAATTTTCTATTTTCTTGCTTCTATTATTTCTCCTCTTGTTCTCGCTTCTCGTATTCTTCTCATCCTTTCTTTATTATTCCTTTACTTCCTACCTTTACTTTCCTTCCTTCATCCACCTTCTCGCCTCTCCCCCTCCCTCCTTCCCTCTCCCTTTCCATCACTTTATCACTCTCTCCTTCCTCTCTTACTTCCCTTCTCCCTTTCCCATCGCTTTATCACTCTCTCCCCTTCCTTACCTTCCCGCGTCCCTCTCCATCGCTTTAATCACTCTATTTTCTCCCCCTCCCCTTCTTCCCTTCTCCCTTTCCCATCACTTTATCACATCTCATCCCCTTCCTTCCTTCCCTTCTTCCTTCTCACCTTTCCCAAATTCGCTTTATCACTCATCTCCCCCTTCTTCCTCTTCCCTTCTTCTCGCCATATTCTCCCTTCCCCATGCGCTTTAATCACCTCCTCCTCCTCTCCCTTCCTTCCTTCCCTTCTCCCTTCCTCCCCCTCTTCCCCTTCGCTGCTGAGGAAAGCCATCTTGTACTTTGTACCTCAAAGCGAGAATTTTAATGACGATATTAATATTCAAGTGTGTTTGGAAGATTGAGTAAAAGGCGCGGAGTTGGATGGATGGATGGAATGGATGGATGGATGG